CCATCAAGAACTAGCTCTGACTTTACAAATATAAACAATTTTGTCATACTTCCTGTATTATAGCACCTAGTACAATGCCTTGCACATAGTGGGTGCTTAATAAATTTTTATCAAATGAGTAAATGTTTTTGGGTCCAAAAGAGTGCTATTTTAAGTTAGGAAAGTTAGCTGGGGCTTGAACTCAGTGCCTCGCACCTCCCAGGCAGCTGTTCTACGACTTGAGCCACTCCATCAGCTCTGTCTCCGTTCTTAATGACTCTTATCCTTAGTGGCTCTTTGACTTTACAAGGACAGAAAGTGGCTAACCAGACCTGATCTTGCCAGTACTCTTTGGAACTACTGAGGGTACATTTTTAGAGCAGGAATAAACCAAGTATGACTAAACTAGGACTTCTAAAGACTCAAACAGTGAAATTGTTATCAATTGAGAGGAAGAAGCTTTTCCAACATGTACAGAGCTTGTTGATTAGTAAATGTTTCTGAATCAGCTTGAATATAATTTTGCATGTTTGAAATTTAGATTTTTAGTACTCTATTAATACATGACACAGTAAATAGTTCTCATCTCCTTTAGACTATGCACTAAAACTTTTGTGGCTCTTCAGAGGTAAGCTTCTTTTTCTCTTAGTCTCAGCTTGTTTGTTTCCTATGCCACTTCAAGCTCCATTACCTGGTTTTGAAGCCCTTGCCAAATAAGGTACATATTAGAAAGGTGAATCATTGCCATTAGCAGATACCTGAGAGCATTGCCAACCTGATTTAAAGAAAAGAGAAACTTCTTAAAAATTTTTAACTCCAATGCACAAAGGTCCCATAGATATTTAATGTCAGGACAAACAGCTTTCTGTTCAGCAGAGTAGGATATTTTACATGTTTTTAGAACATAAGACATAAAATCAATGATATATATAAACCCTGTCCTTTAAAAGATAAAAGGTAACTGTTAAGTGTTAGCTATATAAGAAAACAGTAGGAATTACATGGCTTTTTTATAAAGTCAAAATGGTATTCATAATGGATATACTTATATATACTTGTTTATCTAGAGACTTCCCCTTCCAGGTCAATTTATATATCATGTACCTCAACTGTGGCTGAGATTTAGATTTAATAGATTGGATTTCCTATATGTAAACATTTTACTTGGTTTATATACAGGATTATTCCCTAGTGGAAGAATTTATTCTGAGATTTATTGATAGAACTAATACTCGTTACAGATTATTAGTGAGTTTCCTCTTAGAATAAATGCGGTAACCCTTTAATTTGTCACATAATTCTGGCTTTTAGGATTTGTTAAGTTCTCTATATGAAGTTATCTTTTTAAAAAATTTGCTTTCATTTTCACTATTATAGAACACTTTGTGTAAAAAAAAAAAAACAATGCTAACAATACAGTCTCTACAGAATTTTCAGTTCCCAGACAACTATCAAAAAAAAAATCAATTCTAGAGAAAAATAAAATTTTTACTTTTGTCAGTTCCCAGGGATAACCACTTTCAACTCTGCTGATTCTCACATCACCTGCATATCATTAAATTACTTCTTTATTTTGGTATGCTTTGGTGTTTCAGTTTTAGGCACCATTGTTGACTTTTGGTGTAAAAACAGGATTTAGCATTTTTCATCATTCTTTTCATGTATGGACACACATTCTTACTGTCTTCTATCATAGTTCTGATTATAGTTATAGTTTTTACCTCTAGCTAAGATCTGTATTATATACCGCTACTGCTTTCCTTGCAGAACTTTTTTGGCAGTTCTGGGGTTTGGAATTGGCCTCATGCTTGATGCTACAGAGGCACTCTACCACTTGAGTTACACCTACAACCCATTTTGCTCTATTTTTTTTTCTTTTTAATGGTACTGGGGTTTAAACTCAGGGCCTCATGCTTGCTATAGGCAGGTGTTTTACCTCTTGAGCCACTCCACTAGCCCAGTTTTGTGTTGAGTATTCTTTTTTTTCCCCATACTGGGTATCAAACCCAGGGCCTTGTATATGCTAGGCAAATACTCAACCACTGAGCTACACCCTAGCCCAGCTGTGGGTGTTTTCAAGGTTTGGGCTCTCAAACTATTTGCCTGGGCTGGCCAGGAATTGCAGTCCTCCTGATCTCTGCTGCTTGAGTAGCTAGGATTACTGGTTGTATATAATGTTTTTTAGGCCCTTTTTGTGCTTATCACTAATTTGTCCCCTAATTCTCTGTCATTTGTGCCAACCTCAATAGTTCAGGTACATGAGATATGTATTCTTAGGGATGTTTTCTGTTTTGGTATGTTCCAGTTTGAATTGATTTCTAAGTTGTATCATTTCACTGTTGTGTGTTAATCCTTTGTCATCATGACTTATTACTTCTAAGTGCCTTCTTGAGAAAGCATGTTTCTAGAGATCTTGCATGTCTTTTATCACATTTAATAGGTTAGCTTGGATATAGGATTCCAGACTGGGAGTAATTTTACCTTAGGATTTTGAAGGCACTGATCCATTGTTTTCTATCTTATAAATATTAAGATACACACTTTTGTTCTGATTATTATGACCATTTCATCCCCCCAACCTCTGCGTATATTTTGAAATTTTCCCAATGTCCCATCTTGTGTGGGCTTTTTGGTATTTTTTATATAGGCTTTTTTTTTTTCCTGGCAGTACTGCAGTTTGAACTCAGGGGCTTATGCTTGCTAGGCAGGTTTTTTGGTTGTGTTTTTGGTGGTACTGGGGTTTGAACTCAGGGATTTACAGTTGCAAGGCAGGCACTCTACCACTTGAGCCATGTCACCAGCCTCTCCTTTCTCTTTCTGATAGTTATTTGGATGTTGGACTTCCTGAATCAGTCTCCTAATATTCTTATATTTACTTTTAAAAATAATTTTCTGTTTTCCATCTCCTGTGAGATTTCCTCAACTGTTTTTAGTTAATTTTTTGTCTGCTCATATTTTTATGCCCAAGAGGTATTTTGTGTTAAGAGTATCCCCTTGTTTTGACATTTTTCCAATTAAAGACTTTCTCAAATTCCTGGATGCCTGCTTTTTAAAGAATGGAACCATAGAAAGCCTAGCAGGGGATGTGGCTCAAGTGGCATTTTGGTAGGCCTTGCCTACCAAATGCAAGGCCTTAAGTTCAAACCCCAGTGCCACAAAAAAGAATCCATAAACAAAGAGCTATGGGGAAGCTTTTTGATGTGCTTTTCAATCTAGTATGATCTGGCTGGGCTGTTACATTGTAAAATCATTGATACCAGGTTTTTTTTTCCTCTTACTCAGGTAAGATTTCCTCAAGGTTTGTATATCCTTCCCTGGATTTAAGCAAGGCTGTAACTTTTCTGAGAGTAGAGTAGGGAAAGAAGGCCTATAGGTTCATCCTTCAGTACAGGTGCTTTCATTCCTGTTTTCAGTAAGGTACTAATGGAAATTGCCTATTCTCTCTAGCAAAGGTACCATGTATTTACCCTCTCAAGTCTTATACTAGCTTTGGGAGGGCGGGGAGGGCAGTTCTTTGGCTACATGTGTATCAGTCTATTTGCATATATATATGCAATCTTCTTGTCATATTTGCTTATTATATAATCTTTTGACCTACCCCTTGTTTTTACTTCCACATTCAGAGTTGCTTGGTGTTACCAGTTCACCTTGAGCCCTTAGGATTTCAGTGATTTAAATTAAGTTGCTTTTCTGCTTTCCCATTGCTTGTTTTGGGATTCATCTTTAAGTTATCTTTCACCTAAAGACTTACCAAAATTTTCTCACATTTTATTCTTGGAGGTTATTATCTTCCAATTATCTTTTATTAGAAAAAGTTTCAGAAGGGAAAAGAGATTATTTTTCTGTGTGCTATCTTTAACAATATTGTGCCTGAGTCTACTCCTTGTTTTCAGACTGAAAGGTATGTCCTATATTCAAGCAGATGGGAACTGTCATGTCCTTCTCTTTCTTTATATTCTTTGTTTTCAACATACAGGAAAATTAGGGGAAAAGGCATAAATGATTTAGAAAACTAGCTTTATTATTATAAATCCTAAACTGATGTCACTGGTTCATAACTTCACATATAAGCACTTGCAAATGTTTCATTCTTGACTTTTGTGTATGTGTGTAACATTGTACCCTTATTTTGCTCTATTACTAGTACACAGTAGCTAAACTGAATGTGTTTCAGTTTTAAGGATGGGAGAATGTAATGGAGATCATCTTGTCTATGTTTTCAGTCTACCCATTTGTTTTTCTATACCATTATCGAATCCTTTTCCTCAGAATTTATTATTTAAATCGGTTACTTAAGCGTTTTTTCTCTCTCTCTCTTTTTTTTTTAAATGTTTTTGACGGTACTGGCGTTTGAACTCAGGGCCTGCTTGCTAGGCAGGCGCTGTAGCATTTGTCAAGGCCTCGCAGCCTTGACAGTTAATTACACACTTTTAAGAATGAGAAGGCTGCTAGAACTAAGATAGGCACACGGGCTTCCTTCAAAATGGTTCGGCTGAACCAAAGTACTGTTTTGGAGTCTAGGAAGACAAGGTAAAACTGGCTACCCAGATATGACTGCAAACTCCAAAAACCTGCATTCTTCCTGGACCTCCTCTCCCACCACAAAATTCATGGTTCTTCCTGGACCATACTCTTGCTTTGCTGGCTTCTCAGCTCGTCCTATGGGTGCTGCACAAAGTTCCAGGCGCTCAGGCCACCAGCCGGCCAGGTGGGGAGATGTGGGTGCAGCACTTCGAGGTCTTCAGCGGCCAGGAACCGTCAGGACCTTAGCCTCGAGACACAGCCCCTGGGTGCGCTGTCTCGGGATGGCGGCTTCAACTCTGCCCAGCGGAGCGCCACACGCCCGAGGCCGTTTCACTCGTGGCCAGAGATTAACTCGCACTCGCGTGCTCAGTTCCCAGATGTCTTCAGCTCAGCCCCCGGGTGGGAGGGACAGCGTCCCGGCGCCGGTCTTCCGGAGCCGCTAATTTTCAGAGCCGTCGGACGCGGCAATGCACGCCGTCCTGCTTTACGGCAGGAGTGCGCGGGTTTGCGGCAGAGTGACGCAAGCAAGTTTTGGCGGGAAAAGCTCTGCATTTGGGTTCCTGTGGTGGCGAGCAAAGGACAATCTGGTGAGGAGGTGCGGCAGGTATAGCAGGAAAGGACTCCAGAGTAGAGTTAGAGGTCTGGATTAGTGAGGAATAGCACAAGAGTGTTATGATGGCCGGAGGGAATGGGAGAGCCTCCAGCGGAGGGGAAGTTTGTGGGAGTGGAGGACTGTGGCAGCAGGGGTCCGCGTTGTAGAGCGGGCAGGAGAGACTACCGCTCGGCTGGCTGAGAACCTCCGAAGTTCGGGCGCCGTCCTCCGGCTCCGGCCTTTTGTCCGCTCCTGGGGGCAGTCTGGCCCCGCCCCGGGCCCCTCCCGACAAGGCACGGGTGCGACGGGGGTGGGAATTGGCACTGAGCGGGCGGGAGGAGGGGCTGCGGCGGCGGCGTTCGTCTAACCTCTGCGCTAGGCCGCGTCCCTGTCCCCACACCCGCGCCCCCTGCCCCCTCCCCCTCTTCCCCCTCCCCCCATCCCGTTCACCCCCGCAGGCGGAGGTCTCTCAGCGCCTCACCTGCAAGCTCGGCGCTCGGCCGGCAGTGAGGGGAACGGGGTGGTGCTTGACCCGACAAATACCTACCTGTAGGCTGTGGTTCAGGCTCGGGTAAATAAGGATGGGACGATCTTGGCAAGAGGCCCAGCGCGCTGGCCTCACAGGGGATTGGACCTTACTCTCATCCCGCACATTTTCTGGTTCCTGCCTTTTTCAGCCGCGGTGCTCGGTGAAGTCATGGCAGTACCCTTTGTGGAAGACTGGGACTTGGTGCAAACCCTGGGCGAAGGTGCCTATGGCGAGTGAGTTTGAGTCCTAATTCTATCTTGCCTCAATGCCTTCCTTAATTATCTATTGTCTGAGTACATACTTGTTGTTTTGGAGTTGTTTATTCTAAGACAGTGGCAACTTGAAGACCGGATCTTCGCATTTGGAAACCAACACTTTTAGCAAGTGAAGTTACACTATCTTTTGTAATGGTAAATGTTTTTCTTTTTTCATCCCCGCTCCCCCCTCCTTTTTTGGTGGGGATTAGTGCTTGTAAAGCAGGTGCTATACTGCTTGAGCCACACCTCCAGTACATTTTGCTCTGGTTACTTTGGAGATGGGCGTCTCTGAGAACTATTTGCCTCTGGCTGGCCTGGAACTGTGATCCTCCAGATCTCAGCCCCCAAAGTAGCTAGGATTACAGTTGTGAGCCTCCTGTGTCCCCCCCACTTTTTAAAAAAAATTTTATTTTCTTTGTAAAGAGTCAACAAGATATATTTACATTATTGTTTTCACATAGCCATTCTTGGGGCTTAAGAGCAGTAGTTAAATGAGCAAGTGAACAGTATGGAGATGACAAAACCTCTTATCACATACTGCTCTTGTTTTGTGATCTTAGGCAAGTTTTCTAGTGTCCTGTGTGTCTTTATTTCTTCACCAGTACAATGGAAATAGTACCTACCCCAAAGGTGCTTAGAATAGTTAACACATGAATATGTAACATGAGATTAATAAGTTGTAGGTAATGCTATTGTCTGAAATTGCTATTATCTCACTTGGTTTATTTTATCAAACATTAAATGACTTGCATGTACAGGATAATGACTTGGAGCGTTAGGTGTACTTCACATTTCAAAAAGAGTAATATCTGTTGAGAACATAGTGGAAAACATTTATTTGGCTTCTTGGTTGAGAAAGTGGTAAAAGGTAAAATAGTTTTGGGTGTGTCATGTTTAATTTTTTGAAGGTTTTGTTTTGTTTGTTTGAGACAGTTTTCTTGTAGCTTAGGCTGGCCTTGAACTTGGATCCTCCTGCCTCCAACTCTTCCTTTTCTCTTTTTTAGAGTTCAACTTGCTGTGAATAGAATAACTGAAGAAGCAGTTGCAGTGAAGATTGTAGACATGAAGCGTGCCATAGACTGTCCAGAAAATATTAAGAAAGAAATCTGCATTAATAAAATGTTAAATCATGAGAATGTTGTGAAATTCTATGGTCACAGGAGAGAAGGCAATATCCAGTATCTGTTTCTGGAATACTGTAGTGGGGGAGAGCTTTTTGATAGAATAGGTATGAAAAATACTTAATTATTTAATTAAATAAGTTCTAAATTTGTATTTTTAATCTTAGCTATTTGGTCAGTTTTATTTCAAATTTGCTTATGCAGCAGTGAAACTGGAGTAAATTGTCTTTTTGTTTGTTTTTGCTTTGTATTACATGAAAACACATAGAGTTATTGAAAGGAAACTTAAGTTTTATAAATGATTTTGTTCTGGATTACTGTTTTATGAGGTTTAAGAATAATAACTAGTTTATGGTAAAGTATCAGAAACATAATGAAATAATTACACACATTTATAGGAGAAAAATACTAGCATATTCTTATGTTTCTCCTTTATTTGTTAAGCAAAACAATTGAGAATTTTCTAGCTTTATATGTAAATAATTCTTTAAATGCTTCTTAAATGTTTTATGCAGAACAGTGCAAAGTCCATAAAATATATTATGTGGATCTAAGTTTATTATTTTTTTCCTTTTTTTTTTTTTTTTTTTTGGTAGTGCTGGGTTTGAACTCAGGGCTTCATAATTGCAAGGCAGGCCCTCTACTGCTTGAGTCACATCTCTAGCCCTGTTGTGATTATTTTTGAGACTGGGTCTTGGTATTTGTAGCTCAGAGTGATCTCAAACTTATGATTCACCTGCTATAGCCCCCCGATTGCTGGGATCACTACTCAGCAATTGTGCTCCCCCATGATTGGCTCTAAATTAATTACTTAAAGCTATTTTATTAATAAATGCTAATTATTAGAATTTCTGGTGTGAATTTCAGGAGGCTGGAGGGTAAAAGGAATCAAAAGTTAATGAGAGAGATCAAAAGGAAACTGGTAACAGAACATTTCTTAATAACACTATTTCCTGAAGGGACTTCAGGCATTCATGGCTTTGTAGTAAGACAGCTTTTGTGAAATTTAAATCTGTTAAATATTTAGTGAAATTGACCTAGATTGCCCTGTGCTTTCACATTGGCAAATTATTTTTCAAGATTGGGAAAAATACTAGCATAGCATTTAAAAGAAATAGGGGAGAATTTGACAGATAACAGGTAGATTAGGGCTGTACAAGAATAAAATAGGAGTTTTTAAGGCATACCTTGTATTTTCGATTTGGATGATAGTTACTTACAATTTCCCCATGATACTAGATTATTTTTACTGTTTAACAGGAATATTTGAGTTATTAAGTATTGTATTTGTTAGTGGACTCTTGAGTCTTTTCTAGTATAAGATTTTGCTAAAGTATAATCACAAATGTCTAGACATAAATTAAGATACTATATGGTTGATGCCTGATTGTATTTTTCCAGTAAAATAACTTTCATAATTAATTCCTGTAGAGCCAGACATAGGCATGCCTGAACAAGATGCTCAGAGGTTCTTCCATCAACTCATGGCAGGGGTGGTAGGTGTAATTGCCTCTTTTACTTAAAAGTAGTATGAATAAACTAAGTTGCAATATTCTAATGTGTCTCTACCTTTCCCTTAGGTTTATTTGCATGGTATTGGAATAACTCACAGAGATATTAAGCCTGAAAATCTCCTTTTGGATGAAAGGGGTAAGTATGGCATTTTGTTAATGCAACATTTCAATACAGTCATGTAAGCCAGGATTGAGGCTTTTGCATTACTGAAACCTCAAGATAATGGGAAGTCAAGGAAATTTAGGAGACTCAGTATATTTGGACTTCATAAGACTTTCATAGTATAGTTGTGGATGAGGTAGAAAAATGTAACCTAAAACAGAGTAGCTTACTAGATGAAAAAACAAAAATAGTGTTAAGGCCCAGTGCAGTGGCAACATGTCTGTTATCCTTGCTACCCAGGAGGCAGAGATCAGTAGGATAGCAGCTTAAGGTCCTCCTGATCTCTGCCTCCTGAGTAGCTAGGATTTACAGGCGTGAGCCAATGTCTTGTGTGCTGCATTTACTGTGTAAAATGTGTAAATGAGATTATAGGATATATGCTTTTTTCTTTTGTAGGTCAAACTCAGGGCCTCATGCTTAAGCAAGTGCTCTACTACTAAGCTATACACCTCCAACTTGACATATATACTTTTTTGTTATGTTCATATGGATTTTTATCCTTTTTGTGGGACAGTACTGGGATGTGAACTCGACCTCATGCTTGCTAGGCAGGTACTCTTCGACTTGAGCCATGCCCCTAGACCTTTTTAGCTTTAGTTATTTTTCAAGTAGTACCTTGTGGTTTTTTTACCCTGACTTGCCTGAACTGCGATACTCCTCTTCTCCCATGTAGCTGGAATGGCAGGCACATGCCCGACTGTTTTGTTGAAATGGGGGTTTTGCTAATTTTTTGCTCAGGCTGGCCTCAAACCACAGTCCTCTCTGTCTGCCTCCCAAGTAGCTGGGATTACAGAATTGAAACACCGTGCCTGGCCCTTTTTATTCTTTTAAATTATGTTTATATATGCATAAAGATGTTTACTTTTACTTAAAACTTAAGAATATATAGAAAACTTAAGAATATGTGGCCAATGAAAGAATAAGCTTAAACACAAAAATTTTTTATAACGTGCGTATTATAATTAAGTATAATAAACACCCATAACCCACTTGGGTTAAGAATAAAACAATAATCGTGTATAAGAATACTCATAATGGTGGTGGTTAGTAGAAAATGAAACAACCCAAATGTTTCCTGCAATAAGATACATAAAATATGCTTTGTTTTGTTTGTTTGTTTGTTTGTTTTTGGCAGTATTAGGGAGTTGAACTTGGAGCCTTGTACTTGCTAGGCAGGTGCTCTACCACTTGAGCCACTCCTCTAATCCAAGACAGGTGAATTATGAAGTGGATAATTTATAGGAAAAAAGGACAGTGTCATAACAAACGTTTATTTTAACAGGATCCAATTTTTAGTACTGGGCCTGTGAACAAATTTATAGAACATTCATCATTGTTGTATGTTTTTTAAGTTAGATACAACTTAAATGTCCCCAAATGGATGATTAAATTTTTAAAAATATTCACCAGTATATTCACACCACATAACAAGTAAGCCACTGAAGTTTACATGTATTTGACTTTGGGATACTGCAGTTATATCCTTTTTTCCTACTTACGTCCTATTCCATTTTAGTATGTATACCTTCTTTTCACCAAGTGAGTTTGTTTGCTTTTGAGAAAGTTGTACCTTGTATGTTACTGATGTCTACTTCCTGTCTTCCACACTACTTATATAGTCAAGGGCTTTCCTCTGCTTTCAGTCCAGTTTCTTTCAGCCTAAATGTTATTTTCCAGGACAGCCCCTTTTGACTCCAGCATCTTTCTTTAACCTGGTCCAAACTGTTAAGTGTGTTGATAATTCTCTTTAAGTTGATAGAAAGGATGAGATGTTTTTTAAGTTTTAGCATAGATAATGGTGTCTTTTCATTTTTCTTCTTTTAAAAATTTTTTTTGTTTATTTTGGTCAATTAGGTAGGGAGTTTCTATAAACCTTGAGTAACACTCATGATATTTCCAAAGAAACTTAATTCCTTTAAGTTTATGTATTTTCAAATTCTTTTAATCAATATGTATCCTTTCTCTTTTGGTCTAGATAACCTCAAAATCTCTGACTTTGGCTTGGCCACAGTGTTTCGGCATAATAATCGTGAGCGTTTATTGAACAAGATGTGTGGCACTTTACCTTATGTTGCTCCAGAACTTCTGAAGAGAAAAGAATTTCATGCAGAACCAGTTGATGTTTGGTCATGTGGAATTGTACTTACTGCAATGTTGGCTGGAGGTAAGATGTATTTAGTCATGATAAAACTCCTAGTCCTATGAAAAGTCAGATTGCTAATCCAGAGTAAATGAAATAAACCAAGGGAATCTGTATTTATATAGTAGCATTTTAATGATGTCTGTTCTAATAGTGACTGTGCTGACAAAGTACCACAGACTGAAACAGATTTGTTTTTCACAAATTCTGGAGGCTGGAAGTCTGGAATCAAGGTGCAAGCATGGTCATGTTCTAGGGAGAACCCTCTCCTGGATGCAGATGGTCATCTTACTGGGCTCTCACATGACCTAGAACAGAGAGAGCAGAAGCAAGCTGTAGTGCCTTTTCATAAGGGAACAAAGCCCTTCCAATGAGAACTCTCCTTATGGACCTAATCACCTCCCAAAGCCCCCACCTCCAAACACTATCACATTGCAAGTTAGGATTTCAATATATGAATTTTGGAGGATGGGTGGGGGCACACAACATTTAATAGTAGCTACTTATTAGTAGCTAACTTGGAGGTAGTAACTTACTTATGACTGACTTAGTAGTTGTAATCCCAAAGACTTTTTAGTCAGGTGTAGTTAATTAAATTAAAAATGAAAAATCACAACAGCTTTCTCTTTGAAGATTCATGTATACACTTTTTTTTTTTTTGATGGTCCTGAGGACTAAACCCAGTAACTTGCACGTGCTAAGCAAACAATCTATCAGTGAACACTTTTTGGAAAAAGTAGAGCAAGAAGTGATTTGTTTGCCTTTGAAGTACTTATAAAGTTTCAGTGAAAATTAGTTTCTTAGTTTGAAAATGATATTGAATTACTGTGGAGGAAACTTTTTGTGGATTTGAACAGTTATTTTTCCTTGAAATCCTTACTGTATACTTAATGTGGACACTCAGAAAACAAATTTTTTTTTTTATTTTTAGAATTGCCATGGGATCAGCCCAGTGACAGTTGTCAGGAATATTCTGATTGGAAAGAAAAAAAAACATATCTCAATCCTTGGAAAAAAATTGATTCTGCTCCTCTGGGTAACTGACTTATCTTGATTGAAAGTATTAATATCTTGGATTATAAAGTCTTTATGCTATTTAATTTTTTTTCCTACTTTTTTTTTTTTTAGCTTTTAAATAATTATATAAATAACCCATGGTTCTTGTACCTAAATTTAGAAAATATAAATAAAAATTAAGAAAAAAAAAACAACTCCGTAATCAGAGCACTCAGATATCCTTTTAAAAATATTGTGATATGTACTTCTATAGTTTGTTGCAAGTACATGTAACAAATGTGTGTTGTATGTACATTTTTTATAACTACATGTGATTTTACAAAAAAATTAAGTCATATTACACGTATTTCATAACCTGTGTTTTGTTTTTAATGGTCTGTGACCGTTTTCCCATGTCTATAATTGTAGCACTCCTTTGTTTTTATAGACTGCAATGATATTCTGCTATGTGGATATGCCTTACTCATCCAATTCACTTTGTTGGAGATGTAGACTTTTTTCTAAATTTTTACTGTTAAGCAAAAAGATATAAGTATCCATGTTACTTAATCTTCACACATATTCTTAAACCACCAGAAGCAAACCTGTAGAATCAAAGACATATGTAGCTTTTAAATATTATGGATTATTTTGCCAAATTATTTTCAAACAAGAATTGTACTGTTATCATGGTCTTACCAGTTTACATTTTTTAAAAAGTGTTTTTAACTGGTAGGTCTATAGGTGGTACTGTTTTTAAATTTTTATTTTAAATTTAATATGATGAAGTTGCATACCCTTTATGTATTTTTTTTTTTTTTAATAGTACTGTGGTTTGAACTCAGGGCCTTGTTCCAGTTTTCCCAAAAAGATTTATATTGTACTTCTTAATCCTTTGAGGGCTATTATTTTTTTTTAAATATAGTAATGTAATCTGACCTTTATTTGTTACAAATAATTTCAATTTGTCATTTATTTTCTTTTTGTTTGCTATTGACATGTAGAAATCTTATATTTTTCAAATGTACAATCTTGTTGTTTTTGGTTTCTGAAAGTTCCCTGTTTTAATGTAGAGTAGTTTTTTGTTTTTTTTTGGCAGTATTGTTTGCTAGGCAGGCACTCTATTGCTTGAGCCATGCCTCCAGCCTTAATGTAGAGTTTTAGTGGCTGGATTTTTGCATTTGAAACTTTGGTCTGTTAGAAAATAGTTTTGGTGAATGGTATGAATTTTTTCTGTGTGTGTATGGGACTGGCATTTGAACTCAGGGCTTCACACTTGCAAAGCAGGCACTTTATTGCATGAGCCATACCTCCAGTCTGTTTTGCTTTAATTATTTTGGAGATGGGGCTTTTGAACTATTTGTCTGGTGTAGCCTCAAACTGCAGTCCTCCCTCTCTCAGCCTCCCAAGTAGCTAGAATTACAGGTGTGAGCCACCAGCACCTGGTGGCTGTATGAATTATTTTTACTTTTAGTTTTTTATTTTTGAGGCAGGGTCTTGCTATGTATTCCAGGCTGGCCTAAAACTTGCTGTGTAGCCCAAACTGGCCTCTTAACTCAGCGATCATCCTGCCTCCACCTCCTGAGTGTTTGTGATTAAAGATGTGTGCCACTATGCCCAGCCACATGAATTCTTTATCAAAAGTATAGATAGTAGCAGAACAACTGCATGAACTTAAAGCAATAAACTAGTAGCTTTATTCTCTCTGTTCCCCAGAAATAGTAATTTAGTTTTAAAGAGACCAAGAGAAATGTGTTTCTTAACTACAGCCATAGACTTTTTTTTTTTAATCTTCATGACTCTTGTAAATGTTATCTTCTGTTTTGTTTTCAGCTCTGCTTCATAAAATCCTGGTTGAGAATCCAGCAGTAAGAATTACTATTCCAGACATCAAAAAAGATAGATGGTACAACAAACCACTCAAGAAAGGTAATATTCTTAAAATACAAACATTTTTCTGTGTGAAAGAAAAGGTACTTGAAGCTGGGCATGATGACTCAAGCTCGTAATTCTAGCTGCTTGGCACTGTACTGCTTGAGCTATACCTCCAGTCCTGTTTTCATTATTTTTAACAAATAAGAAGAGGTTAAAGTGGTGTAGGCTTTTATAGTAGTGGTGTAGATGTGAGATGATGGTAGTTTGGAGTAGATGAGTGATAATGGCATTGGAGAAAAGAGATAGATTCCAAAGAAGTTTAAGAACTTGAATTGATAGAATTGGTGATTGTTCAAATGTAGACAGTGAATTGGAATGAAAGATCAAGAATGACTCTTAGATTCTGGTAACTGAGGAGTAGAAACAGGTTTGGGGAGAATTTTTGTGTAGTTTTGGACATTTTAAATTTGAGGAGTTAAGTAAAAATTATCCATTTGTATGTATGTATGTAACTCAGGAGACAGGATTAGGCTCGAGGTGTTTTGAGAATTTAAACCATGATAAATGAAACTGAGTATTGGTGGGTAGAAATCAGGGAAACAGAAAAAGTAGGCAGAGAGATAGGAGGAACATCTGGAGAACTTGGAATAATGGATGCTAAAAGACAGAAAGAAGTACATTGCTGGGTGCTGGTGGCTCATACTTGTAATCCTAGCTACTTGGGAGACCGAAATCAGAAGGATCACAATTTGAAGCCAGCCCAGGCAAATATTTCACAAGATGCCGTCTCCAGAATAACCAGAGCAAAAATGGATGGGAAGTATGGCTCAAGCAGTAGAACTTCTGAAGGCCACTTTATTTATTGTTTTGGTGGGACTGGGTTTTGAACTCAGAGGCCTCACACTTGCTAGGCAGGTGCTCTACCACTTGAGCCATTCCACCAGCCTAGAGCGCCTGCTTTGTAAGTGTGAACTCAAGTTTCAAAACCCCAGTCCCACAAAAAAAAAAAAAAAAAAAAAGAACATGACAGTAGCAGATACTGTTAAGTAGATTAATAATATGAAGCCTAAAATCTTTCATGGGATTCCATATCTAGTGGTTATTTATGATCTTAGCAAGAACAGTTGCAGTGGAGATTAGTGTGTAAATCCTAGAGTGCAGTGATTGTAATATAAAAAGAGAGGTAAGGAAAGACAGCTCATGCTCATGTCCTTGGGTCTATAGGTGGGGCAGGTGTCCTGTTGGTTCTTCATTGTCACTTTCTGCTTTGTTCCTGCATAACTTTCTCCTGCATTTAAAATCTCACATTATCACACTCCATCACCCACTGCTTTGTCCTTAATAATCACCTTAAGAACCTCTAATTAAAATCTCTGCCATGCCATTCTCTCCAACACGACTTGTAATTTTTGTCTTTTTTTATTTGTTTGTTTGTTTTGATTAAGGGGTTTTATTTGTTTGTTTTGCATCACTGGGGTTTGAACTCAGGGCATCATGCTTGCTGGGCAGGTGCTCTTAACACTTGAGCCACTCTACCAGCTGTTTGTTTGTTTTGAGACAGTGTCATTGTGTAGCCCAGGCTGGCCTCAAACTTGCTGTTCTCCTGCCTCAGCCTCCCAACTGGTGTGCTGGGATTATAGATGTATCACTGTTTCCGCTTTATCATGGTTCTTGGTAGATTAAATATTCATATTAAATATTCATTCATACTTCCAATATCCTGATCACATAGTTCCTTGACTTTCTGTCCTTTGGTTATCTTACCTTCAAACATCCTACTGTGATTGTCAGTGTATCTTATTTCTAGTTTCCTTTAGTACTATGACTTCAACAATCTTTTGACTCTACCTGGACTTGGACTCTGTTAATTCTAATACCTTGAATTTATTAAGTCTACTACTGTCTTTTATCTGCCCCTCAGTCCTCAGTTCTGTCCTTACTTATCTTAAATCCCAAGATTAGTCATTATTAATGACTTTTTCACATTGCTTATTTTGTACTTCCTTGTCTCTTTCTCTCTTCATTCTTATTGGGCAAAACCCAACCAAGTTTTATCCAGTTTTCCATCTATTCCAACCTTATAACCTGTACAACTGATTGGAGCTAGAGAAAAATACTCAACAATAGTCAACTTAAATTCAGAATCTGTAATCTCAAGTAGACTTTTAATGTTTCTACTGTCCTAAACTATTCTTTCTAAATCTTTCACTACTCTGTTCTCAATCACATTTTTGTACCTTTTCTTTGCTCCTTAACTTTTTTCATTTATTTCCCCCTGTTTTTGGGGATTGAATCCAGGGCCTTGCACATGTTAGGCAAGTACTACCACTGAGGTACATCCCTAATACTCTCCCCTCCTTTTGTGAGGGGAGGACATGGTGTCACGGTGCAGCCCAGGCTGGCTCAAACTTGGTATCCTCCTATCTCCTTTTTTTGTTGTTTGTTAGTTTGGTTATACTGGAGTTTGAACTCAGGACTGCACACTTGCTAGGCAGTGCTCTACCACTTGAGCCACTCTGCCAGCCCTTTTTTGTGTTGGGTATTTTTGAGATAGGGTCTCACTGTTTTCCTGGGCTGGCCTTGACCCATGATCTTCCTGATTCTGCCTCCCAAGTAGCTAGCTTTACAGGCATGAGCCACCAGCACTTGGCCCTTCCTGTCTCTTCTGAGTGTGGATTACAGTCACGGACCACTACACATGGCTCTCCACTACCATCTCCACCCACCTAACTGCCTTTGTTCATAGACTACTGTGCATCCTGTTGCTGTGGATAAATTGCTGTACCTATAAATCAACTCTTTCTCTTGCCTACTGAAGGGTACTATCTAGCAATCTTTTCTTTCCTCAGCATCATTAATTTTTCTTCCATCTTAAAAAAACAATTAAATAAATAAATAATAGATAAAGCTATTTGGTAAGCTAAATATAACAAAACTTACCTTTTTTTTTTTTTGGTTAAGATCTGGAGAAATTTATTTTTATTTTTTTTTTCATTTTTCTTTTATTATTCATATGTGCATACAAGGCTTGGGTCATTTCTACCCCCTGCCCCCACCCCCTCTGTTACCACCCACTCCGCCCCCTCCCTCTCCCCGCCCCTCAATACCCAGCAGAAACTATTTTGCCCTTATTTCTAATTTTGTTGTAGAGAGAGTATAAGCAATAATAGGAAGGAACAAGGGTTTTTGCTGGTTGAGATAAGGATAGCTATACAGGGCATTGATTCACATTGATTTCCTGTGCGTGGGTATTACCTTCTAGGTTAATTCTTTTTGATCTAACCTTTTCTCTAGTTCCTGTTCCCCTTTTCCTATTGGCCTCAGTTGCTTTAAGGTATCTGCTTTAGTTTCTCTGCATTAAGGGCAACAAATGCTAGCTAGTTTTTTAGGTGTCTTACCTATTCTCACCCCTTCCTTGTGTGCTCTCGCTTTTATCATGTGCTCATAGTCCAATCCTCTTGTTGTGTTTGCCCTTGATCTAATGTCCACATATGAGGGAGAACATACGATTTTTGGTCTTTTGGGCCAGGTTAACCTCACTCAGAATGATGTTCTCCAATTCCATCCATTTACCGGCGAATGATAACATTTCGTTCTTCTTCATGGCTGCATAGAATTCCATTGTGTATAGATACCACATACAAAACTTATCTTGAACCCATTTTCCCTTACCATGTCATCTTTCATTTTATAGCTGAATATCTCAAAGGAGGTTTCTAATTACTAATACCTGGAAGCTAGTTTTGTGGATTTCTTTTCATCTATACTGTTGTTAAAACTAACAGTGACTTAAGTATTTTTCTGAATAGTAGCATTTTATATAGTTAATAATGCCCCTCTCCTTTGATTTCCAGACATTACTCTTCTCATTTTTATCCTTGTCACTGGCTACTCCTTTTTTAAATCTCCCTTGTTGGTTTTCCTTCATTTGTCCAGCCTCAAGAATAGCAGGATTTAATCTATAGATCTCCTTTTTTTCTTCTCCATACTCACTCCATTAGCAATTTTATTTTGTCTCATGACATTAAATAAATCCATATGTTGGTGACTTACATTTATATCAACTTGGACCTTTCCTCTGAATTCCCAACTTACATGTCTAACTTCTCAAATTTCACTTGTGTTTTTAAAAGGGATCTCAAGCTTGATGTGTCCCAAACTTAGTTCCTGATCTTTTCCCTTCAGACTTTCTCATTCTTTCTCAACTCATGTCCAATCTATTGGAAATATCTGTTAACCTCTACCTTTAAAAATTCCAGAGTCTGACCACCTTTTATCACTTAAATTGTTACCTCACTAGTCCAAATCACCCTGGTACCTTGCCAGAGCTTTCCAATGAAAAAGAAGTTATTTTATATCTCTGTTCTCAAATCTTCTCACTCAGAATATAAGCAAAAATCAATTCATAATCTATGAGTTCTTACACAGTCAGTCTTTTTTTTTTTTTTTTTCCATACTGGAGTTTGAACATAGGGCCTCTCATTAGCTAGACAAGCACTCTACCACTTGAGCCATACTCCCAGACTTCAGTTCTCTCCTCTGTGAGACTTACTTACATGTCTTATTCTCTTACCTTCTTTGTGTTTTGGCTACAATGTTATGTTTTCAGTAAGTCTTTCCTAACAATCCAGTTTGCATTAATTTCCTCCATTGCACTTACCATTACTTCACTTACCAAGTTTTAACTTTATTTGAACTTTAACATTTTGTCTCTTCCTCAGTAGAACATAGGATTTAAGAAATCAATGATTTTTGTTAATTTTGTTCACTCTTGAATACTTAATACCTAGAATAATGCCTGATGCATAGTAGACCTAATAAAATACTGGAATGAATTAGTAAATAAATAAGAGGCTGGCTAATGTTGAGTATATTTAAATGGTTTAGGGGACAGATCCAGTAGAGGGAAAGCAGCTGAAAGTCTTAAGAAAAGGGAATAAGTAATAGCATGATCTCTGAAAGGTAGGAGGCTATGGGCTCCATGGCACAAATAGAGGGATGAACATTGAATAAGAGAATGAAAAGGAAAAGATAGGTAGTAATACAAGGGCATTTGCAGATTTGGTAGTGCTGTGTCAAGGTAGTTTCTATCTCTTGGCTTTATTTTCTCAGGAAAATGGGATATGGTATGGTGTCATTTGCTAAGTAATGAGAGGATAGTGTGTGGTCTTGGGAATGTCCAAGGAGTATAGAAGTTTTGAAATAATCTTTCTGGAGCAAGGGAAGGAGACAAACAGGATGGACTAGTAGTGTTGAGGATCTGGTAGAGGATTATAATAATGAATTTGATTATTTTTAGAGTATTGGATAGATCAGATTCATAGTGTTTATTGCCATTATGACAAATTGTTTTTTATCTTGGAAATTTCTGGCTATTTAGCCACATCTCTCTTGTCTTTATTGAATGTTATTGCATTACCCTTAAAGGATGCTATTAAAATTATGGCCTTGTCATGAAATCCCACACTTGGAATATACTTAAAGGTCATGATATCCCACACTTGGAATATACTTAAAGGTCATGATTTGTAAAGTAATAATTTGACAAGTGAGTCTTAGTTTATAACTTGACCACATTTCTTGTAAAATCATGTAGGAAGAACCACTGTTTTTCTTTTCAGTACTTTATGTTTACTAAATGGATTTTGATGTAGTTTTACTTATTCAAGTTGCCAGTTGGGTTAATTAAGACATATCTGCATAGGTGATTTTTATTTGTTTTTTTTTTTTAGGGGCAAAGAGGCCCCGAGTCACTTCTGGTGGTTTGTCAGAGTCTCCTAGTGGATTCTCTAAGCACATTCACTCCAGTTTGGATTTCTCTCCAATAAGCAGTGCTTCTAGGTAAGGCTAATAAATATTAAGTAGTTATTGAATGTAGTGTTCCCCATGAAGACTGATAATGTACATATTTTTCTTAGTAATGAATGTAATTTTTATCACTGTGGGAATGATTGTGTGATATAAGAAGGGCCTGGTGGGTTTTTATGTAAAGACATACTTTCAGCTGCATGTAATGGTGCACATCTGTAGTCCTAGCTACTTGGGAAGCTGAGGCAGGAGGATCGTGAACTTGGTGGCCAGCTTGTACAACATGATGCAAATATCTCCTATAAAAACAAAATAAATAAATAGTTCAAAAATAAAGTTGAACACTTTAAAAAATGAGAATTAAGATAATTTTTCCTTTGTCTTAATGCCTCAGTGAAGAAAATGTGAAGTACTCCAGTTCCCAGCCAGAACCTCGGACAGGTCTTTCCTTATGGGACAGCAGTCCCTCATACATTGATAAACTTGTACAAGGGATCAGTTTTTCCCAGCCCACATGTCCTGATCATATGCTTCTGAATAGTCAGTTACTTGGCACCCCGGGATCCTCTCAGGTAAGGGAATTTAATTTTTTAAATAAATAATGATTACCCTTTATTTTTATTGTCTCCAAGTCTTTAAAAAAATTTTTTTTAATTTTGTAAGGTCCATAGAAAAGTAGATGGCCAATCAAAAGTGGCCTTACCTGAGGTATAAAACTTACCTGAGGTATAAAAATTAGGGTAAACCCTAATTGGGCATGCTATGTTCCTTTGCATAGCTGCCCTTCATTCTATCCCCTTTTAATGGTATCATAATAAAACTGTGGAGATCTTTATATATATATTTTTGGATGAGAAAGAATTAGAGGAGGCCTTCATGGAAAAGAATTCCTAAGTCACAGAAAAGAATTTTCAGAGTAAACAGCTATGATATGACTACTTTGGTCACAGTGGATTTATTCAGCTTTTCTCTTGGACATTTAGAACCCCTGGCAGCGCTTGGTCAAAAGAATGACAAGATTCTTTACCAAATTGGATGCAGACAAATCTTACCAATGCCTGAAAGAGACTTGTGAGAAATTGGGCTATCAATGGAAGAAGAGTTGTATGAATCAGGTGTGTTTCATTGGTTTTCATTGTATCTTTTTCCTAAGAAAATTAAATATTTGAGTATATGTATTTTTTTTTTTTTGTGGTACTGGGTTTGAACAAAGGGCCTCACACTTGAGCCACTCCACCTGCCCTGTCAATGAATGTATTTTTAAAGTACAAATTAATTAGTTTAATTTGAAAAAGAAGCAATTGAGATTGAAGACATTTTAGTAAGTTATTCTTTAAGAAATAATGTTTCTTCAAAAATCTCTCTAAGGTTATTAAAAATATTAAAAGGCTAGAGTATTTTTGTTAAAAACTATGATTAGATTGTATATATTAACAATTGACTCCTCTTCATGAAAGAGGAATACATTATCAATCATATACTTCTTCCCATCTCTCTTGATCTCACCTACCTATTTTATTTTTACAACTTTAAAAATTTTTTTTATTGGTACTGGAGTTTGAGCTCAGGACCTTGCACTTGTTAGGCGAGCATGCTATCACTTGCACCATATCCACAACCCTCCACCTACCAATTTTTGTTTATATTATTATAGCACAGTTATACATTGATACTCTAATTTGTATTTAGGCTTTTAAAAAATGTTAATGTCGTGAAAGACTGAAATAGAGGGAGTTATTCTGTATTAAAGGAGGTAAAGAGGCCAGATAACTAAATGTAGTACTCATCTTTCACTAAATCAGATTTAAAACAAAGCAAAATGACTATTAAAGATGTTTGGAATGATAGGGGAAATAAGAATGTGGACTGTGTTTTAATGTTTTTGTATCATTGTCAGATGGTATAGTGAGAATCTTGTGGTTTATAGGAAAGTATATTTGTATGTAGGAGAAATGTTGAAGTAAAGTTAAAGTGATGTCGCTAACAGTTTCAAAACAAAAAAGGGGCAGACAATTATATAGTGACAAGTAAACACACACACATCTGGGTAGATAAGGCAAATTAAGAACATATGATTATTATTGCACATATTATTTGGGTTAGCAAAGCCTAGCCCAAATATTTTTGTAATTTGGGGTAGGCTTAGCTCAGCAATGTGTCAGTCTTGCTTGGGCTCATTCATCCAACTGCAGTCATTTGATGGGTTTACTGTATCTGACAGTTTAAGTGGTTCACACCTCCATGTTTAGGGTCTTGGTGCTGACTATTGGTCAGGCATTTCTTTTCACAACACTCATGTAACCTAAGTTGCTTTACAGGCCATAGGAACACTTTAAAAGACTGAAAGTGAAAGTTGCATGGTCTCTCTAGACCTTCACTGTCTTCTGATTGCTAGTCTAGCTTTTTAGTCACAAATTTAGACATTTTTTCTTATATATGTAATAACTTTTTCCTATTTTTTTTTTATTATTTGCAGTACTAATGATGGAACCCAAGGGCTTGTGCATGCTACACAAGTGCTCTACTGTGCTGTATTCCCAGCCCTTACTGTATTTTTATTGTTTCTTCTTTCGTTATATTTTGTCAAAATATGAAATTTCTTTTGTTTTTGTAGTACTGGGGTTTGAAGTCAGGGTCTTGTGCTTGCTAAGCAAGCACCACTGAGCCATACCTTTAGCCTGCATTCACATAGACTTATTCCCTATTTCAGGTTGATTTGGGTTTGATAGACACCTACCCACTGGGATGAGTGAGATATTCAACATACTTGATGCTATTTCTGTTATGGAAGTGTCCTACAAATTTTTATTTCATAAAGTGTTGACCTAAGAATATAGCTTTTGTTTGGAGTATTTTATGTAGCTTGACCTTATTTTTAATTGCCTTAGGTTACCGTATCAACAACTGATAGAAGAAACAATAAACTGATTTTCAAAGTAAATTTGGTAGAAATGGATGAGAAGATACTGGTTGACTTCCGGCTTTCTAAGGTATTTTTGATATACTTAATTAGTATTCTTTCTATGGGAATATTTCTGTATGGAATTTTTTAACATTATATTTGTATGTAGTAGTACCTTCATCTGCACTTTCAGTTACCTGAGGTCAGCTGCTATCCAAAAATACTAAACCTAAAGTTCCAGCAATAAGTTCCAACTAAAAAGTTTGAAGTTGAGACAGTTCTGATTAGCATGATGAAATCTTGCATTATCCCACTCCATCCTATCCAGGACCCTTTGTCCAACATAAAAATCTTATGCACAGATTTTTGTTCATGCTTTATATACTACTTGTGTGCTACTCACTTAGTGCTGTTTTTGTTTTCAGATTGATGGTAACAGTATCACAGTGCTTTTATGTTCAAGTAACACTTAATGGTGGCCCTAAAGTGTAAGGGAAGTGATGATGGCAATTTTATTGCAGTATATTGTTATATTTAATTATTAGCTAGTGTTGTTTATTTCTTGCTATGCCTAATTTACAGTTAAGGCACAGTATAAGGTTCCATATTATCTGGCATTTCAGGTATCCATAGAGGGTCCTAGAACATATTCCCCATGGATAAAGGGTGACTACTTATTTGACATTTACATATATGATAACTTGCTTTTTTCATTTAATATCATGAACTTTTGTTCTTGTCATTATCTATTCTTCTAAGACATGTTTTTTTTTTTTCAACTAACATTTTTCTTGTCAAAGTTTTTGGTGTTTGTAGAAAATACAAATAAGTAAAAAGTAAGAGAATAAAAATGATCCTAAACTATGCTTCCCAACAGTCATCATCCTTTTTATTTTTTTGTGCTACTGAGATTTGAATGAGGGCCTGTGATTGCTAGGCAGGAGCTCTGTCACTTGAGCCATGCCCCCCGGCCTTTGGGCTTTAGTTATTTTTCAGGTAGGGTCTCACATTTTTGGTCCAACCTTGTCTGGATTGCAGTCCTTCTCTTTATGCCTCCTGTGTAGTTGGAATGACAGGCACATGCCACCGCACCCAGCTAACTTTTTGCCCAGACTGGCCTTGAACTATGATCTTTCCTGTCTGCTTTCAGAGTAACTAGGATTACAGAAGTGCCCATCACCCTTAATATTTTGAAACATTCTGATTATTTTCTCAATTAGCTCATATAAATATGTCTTTAATAAAGATTATCATTTACAAGAAATATTTTGTACATTATAATTTAACAAATCTTGTTAAATCTGTGATTAATATTCTTGTACATAGATTTTTTTTCTTCACATTTCTGATTATTTGTAGTTGTGTGTGTGTGTGTGTGTGTGTGTGTGTGTCTAGTACTGGGGTTTGAATTCAGGGCCTCATACTTGTTTGGTAGGTGTTCTACCACTTGAGCCACTCCACTGACTCTTTTTTGTGTTGGGCATTTTTGAGATAGGATTTTGATTTTGTTGCTTGGGCTGACCTTGAGCCGCAAATCCTCCCAATTCCTGCCTCTGAAGTAGCTAGGATTACAAGTGTGAGCCACTTGTGACTAGCTGGATTATTTGTAGCTTTAAAGTTCCTGATATATGAGACCAAAATAGCATTTTTCTCTATTTCCTGAGAAATTACATGTGGTGCTGAAGAAGCTTGAAGGGCTAGTTCACATTTTGGCTTTTTTTTTGTAATACTGGGTTGTGAACTCAGGGTATTATAGTTCACATTTTTTATATTGGACATTTGCTAAAATACTTCTTACCAGATGCTTGGTATGGAATTAAATTATGAAGATCCTATTGTAATGAAATCCTTCTTATAACTGAATCTATTGACTTTGTTCCCGTAGTATTGACTTCAGTGTAGTTTATTTTTCATTTATAAACATCTGTAGAAAACAGTGATTTAGATCTAGCTATACTAATCCTTGAAACAGGATACCATGTTTTCTTCTCTGAGCTTACTGTGGTGAGAACAGTGAAGACACAAAGTCAGGCCAGATTTTTTTTTTTTTTTTTTTTTTTTTTGGTGGTATTGGGGTTTGAGCTTAGGACCTTGCCAGAATTATTTATGTAACCATTTCCTCTGCCATCACATTTGGAATTCCTAAGAGGAGCTGAATCCAGGCCTGGTGGGTCCAAGCCTGTAATCAGAGCACTTAAGAGGCCTGCTTGGGCTGCATAGTTGGGAGGGGTTGAGGGTAAATACGTAAGGATATTTGTTGCTACTTACCAGTAAAGAGTGTGTGAATTTTGTGGTATAATCTTTTCAGGTTTTTTGACATTAGTTTTATACATTATTCCTAACATAGGGTGATGGATTGGAGTTCAAGAGACACTTCCTGAAGATTAAAGGGAAGCTGAGTGACGTTGTGAGCAGCCAGAAGGTTTGGCTTCCTGCTACATGATTGATCCATTAGCTCTGGGGATTCCTGGTGAATATAGTGCTGCTATGTTGACATTATTCTTCCTAGAGAAGATTATTGTATTATGCAAACTGCAAATAATAATTCGTGAAGAGTTCTCTTCCTCTTTATCTAAACATCTTTTCAATTCTTTGTATGTTTTGCATACAAACAATACCTATATCTTAATTGTAAGCAATACTTTGTGGAAAGGGTGGGTCGAATTCATTTGATATTTCTTCAGCTGTGTTTAATGTCTGAATTTGAAACCCATCTGGTGGAAACCAGGTTTTGTGATAATGAATTTACCAGCTTTTATGCCAACATATTGTCCAATTTTTACCTGAACATTTGTTTCACCCAAAAAGTACATATTTCCTCTGTGTTGATTTAATTATAAGGATGAATTAGCAAAGACTTTTGGACAACAGATTTATCAGTCTGTGAAGTGAGGCCAGCTTCAAAAACTGTACCAACTTTTGTACCATATTTTCAATTATAGTATATGTGCTGCCAAAGTGAGCACTTTACTGCTATCTCCAGAAGGGTCTGACCAGTTACATAAAAGCTGTTTTTGAATTATAATGATTCAAATTACAAGTAGGTATTTTTTTTCTGTTGTAGCTAGTGAAATATAAAATACTGGTTGATCTTTCAACAAGTTGAGCATAAACTGTAGTGCTTAACTAACTTTATTCTAAAAATGATTGTTGCACATCTCAAGTATTTTTCTATATTATTTTCTACTTTCACAGCCATATTTTAATTCTTTACTACAGAAATAAATTCTATTTTGAAAGTGAATATCTAGGGGGGAGAAATGAACCAAGCCTTGTATGCACATATGAATAATAAAAGAAAAATGAAAAAAAAAAAAAGAAAGTGAATATCTAACTCTGTGGTTTTATTGGTGATCAAACTTGTACATGATAAAGAATAAATAGAGGAGTAAGGAAGCAATCAGAAATAGGTCTGATTCCTTGTTCCTTTATCCACTAGCCTTACTAAAACTTTTGTTTTTCTAATAAATTTATATTAAATTTTGAATGTACATTTTTTAAAGTATAAAATTAATCAGTTATTTTAGTCTGAAGTAAAAAAATGTAAAATTTTATGATTAGAGTTTATCACATATTTAGTCTACACTTTTGTATTACTGTCATATATACAGAATAGGAATTCTTTTGAACCTCCTTTATTTATTTCAACCTATTCACGGGGTTCCTAAGAGTTGAGTTGAATCTCAAGTGTGGTAAAAATTTTGATTCCTGTCCTCCAACCTGTTCCTCTCCCAGTTTTTTCTGTCTGAATAAATGTCATTTTCAGCTCCCCGGTTCCTTCAGTCCATACTCTAGAAATTATCCTTAACACTTCCCCCCATATTCTATATTCTGTTCAGCAAGTCTTACTCAGTTCAACAGTTGTATTAAAAATATATTCCATGGGAGGAGGGAAAGGAGAATGATGGGAGGGGTAAATTTAACTATGATACATTATAAGAACTTTTGTAAATGTCACAGTGTACCCCCAGTACAACAATAGTAAAAATAAAAATAAAACAAAGTATTTCCTGCTTCACACTATAGTTAGTACCATTCTAGTTGAAGTCGGTGGTCTTTTTATATTACTTACTTCTCAGCAGTTTATTTTCCAGAAGAGCAGTCAAGACAATCTTTCTAAAATGTGAATCAGATCTACCCAACTTTCAATTCTCATGAGTTTTCGTCATTTCATTTATTTGTTAGTTTATTTATTTTGGTGAGACTGGGGTTTGAACTCTGAGCCTCATGCTTACAAAGCAGGAGCTCTACCACTTGAGCCACACCTCTTCAACATTCAGTCCTAGACATGCAGCTGACTGTCCTGCTTGGTATCATCTCCATACTTCTTTGTCTACTCTACTCTAGCTATGTTGGTTTAATGTTCTCAAGATAAACACATTTGCCTCCTAGGGGATCTTTTCACTTACTGGTCCCTTTACCTAGAATACTTTACTCCCTAGTATTTGTGTTTCACTCTAGGTCTGTACTTAAATGCCATTTACTCTGCAAAGTCTTTCCCTAACTTACCTAAATAATACTTATTATCTGACACTATATACATTTGTGTGTATATACATACATATATTTCATTTTTTATTATACTTTTTTTACCTTCAATTTTGGGGATCAAATCCAAGGTTTCCCAAATGCTAGGCAAGTACTGTACCACTTTTCTCCATATCTAGCCCCAACACAGGATATTTTTGTTTACTAAATGTCTTTTTCTCTCATTGAAATATGTAGCATATAAGTTCCTTGAGGTCATGGACTTGTCTGTCCTGTTTAATTCTGAATCTCCAACCCCTAGAATAGTGCCTGATACATTATAGCTTGCAATACCTGTTCAACAAACAAATCAGCACTCTGGGTTGATCTATCTATCCTAAAGTGTGTCTAGCTTTTTTCCGTTTCCATTACTACCTACTCCTTCAAGCTCCATCTCCTTCCTGGATTTCTGTACTTTTGTCATTGACTAATGCCTTCCCCCTCGAACTTTTTATGTAACCCCTAATTTTTTAAAAAACAATAGAAGTTATATTGTGTCCTTCTCTTGCTTAAAAAACCTCCTGTGGCTTCCCATTGTGTCAAGACTAGAACCTAAACTCTTCTCTGATCTACCTGGCCCTACATGATTCACCCTCTGTACTCTGCTTACAGTACTCCAGGTGGAGTTGCCTCTTTCTGTTCGTTGACTCTAACAAGTCACATTCCCTTTTCAGGGCTTTGATGCTTGCTGAATTCTCTGCCTAGAACCCCTTCCACTAGTTTGAGTGGCTGTCTGAGCCTTCAAATCTCAATCCAAATAGTTCTACCATACCTGGTCAATATTCTGTTTTCTTTATAGAACTGATCACTATCTGAAATGACCTATTTATTGTCTGCTTCCCCAAACAAAATGTAAGCTTGGATTTTATTATTCCTTTTTGCCCTTTGTGTCCCATATGTCAGAACCTTGGAACATAGGTGGTAAATATCTGTTGAATAAGTAAATGTTGAGTAAGTGAAAGAGTTAAGTATCAGATGAGAAAAATACTATTGGAAGGGACAGGTGAGTAGATGGGTAGTAAATAAACTCAGCTGTTGGAATTTGTATAGAACAGTGGAAAAGCAGATTTGGACAGACTAGCTCTAACAGATATATGAACACTGCAAATTGCCTTTATAAAGAGGCTGGTAATAAGTACATAAGTACCTTTTAGAGTTTTTGTTTGTTTTTGGTGATAGTGGGGTTTGAACTAAGGGCCTCATGCTTGCTAGGCAGGCACTCTACCACTTGAGCCACTCTACCAGCCCCTTTTAGAGTTATTTTTAATTTTTTTTTTCCTGTGCTGTGGTTTAAATTCAGGCCCTTGCAGAGTCAAGTCCCCTTTTTGCTTTAGTTATTTTTCAAATAGGGTCCCACATTTATGCCCAGGTCAGCCTGAACTGTGATCCTCCTGTTTATGCTATCCATGTAGCTGGGATCCACAGGCATGTACTACCATGCCCAACTTTTATTGACGGAGATGGAGTCTCTCAAACTTTTTGCCCAGGCTGGCCTTGAACTGTGATCTTCCTGATCTCTGATTACAGGTATGAGTCACTGCACTTAGCTAGTTATTTTTAATCTAAAATATGTTAATATATATGAAAAGTACAATACAGGTTGAGCGTCCCTAATCCAAAAATCCAGAATGCTCCAGGATCCAAAACTTGTGTTAAGCATCCAAATAAGAGGTACTCAATCTGTATACCATTTAACAAAATACAACATTTAACAAAATGTATGACATTTGGAAAATATAAGGTGCCATAATTTTTCTGTAATGTTTATTATACTGTTGAGAGAAGGTACTTACTCTGTTATTAAAAGTAATTGCTATTTGTCAAGGAAAATTTGCAAAGTGCCAAAAAGTAAAAATAGGGAGAGGACAGTTTACTACCTGAACATAATATCTAAAATTTCAATGGAAAAAACACAATCCATGTGTTGTATGCAGTGTATATGTATGTGTGTGCAGTAAGTATATAGTGTGTGGTTGTTGGGAAAATGCAGTTGCAAAATTAGCATCTGTTTAACTCAATTGACTAAAGACCATTTACAGGCCTTGAAAAATTTTCCATATACCCCACCCAGATCATTACCTTCTCTGTTCCCCAAGAAGTAAACACAAATTTGACTTTAGTGGTATCCTGGTTTTTTAGTTTTTTTCAGCTGTTTATGCATCTTCAAATAATACAATGTAGTTTATGCATCTTTAATACCACTTTTGTTTTTGAACTTTGTAGAACTGTTTATCTTCTTTTTTTTTTTTTTTTTTTTTCTTTTATTGACAGTACTGGGAATTGAACTCAGAACCTTGCTCTTGCCAGGCAGGTGTTCTACCACCTGAGCCATGCAGCCAGCCCTTGTAGAACTGTATTATATGTTGATTTTTTTGGTGTCTGTGTTTTTAAATGTATTGAATTCATTGACTAATTACTATATAACTCATTAATTTTAATTATTATATAGGCTATATTACTAAGTATCCATTCTACTGCTAATGGCTATTTGGATTCTTTACAGTTTCATGCTGCTATAAGCAATTGTTTGTTAACATTTTGTGCATGTTCATAAATTTCACTAGGCCCTAGAGTCTATATACCTGAAAGTGGAATTGCTGTAGGATATGATATACATATCTTTAATAGTAGAATAATGGCCAACTGTTTTCTAAACTGATTGTACCAATTTATACTTCTATTTGGGAAGAATACTTTATGTGTTTTGAAACTATGTTATCCTCCTGATCTCTGTCTTCTGAGTAGCAAGAATAACAGGCATGTGCCACTATACCTGGCCTTAAAAGTATTCTTATGTTTATTCATCTAGTGAGTTACCCTTGTTCTGGGTTACATTTCTCTACCTGATCCACAACTGTATTATGAAAGTTATGTTACTAGACTTACTACTCTTTTGTCTTTTCTTTCTCTTCATGATTTTCAGTTTTTCATATGCTCAGCATACTATTCCTTTGTCATTTTAGTTGTCTTACATAACTCTCCCAATCTGTGATTTTTTTTTTGTTCCACATTTTGTGGAAGTTTATAATCTTAATGTAATCTTAATTAGACCTTTCCTGTGGCTAGTGTTTTTTTTGTTTTGTTTTGTTTTTCTTATCAAAGGATTTATTTACCACTCCAAGATCATGAAGATTTTCCTGTATATTATCTTTCAAAAGCTTTATAGTTTTTGACTCATGTAGATCTATAATCTGCTTGAAATTGGATTTTATGTATAATGTGAGATTGAGGTCAGGTTTTCTTTTTTTTTTTTTTGGGTGGTCCTGGGGTTTGAACTCAGGGCTTCACACTTGTAGGCAGGTGCCTACCACTTGAGCCACTCTGCCAGCCCTTTTGTTTGTTGGGTATTTTTTTAGATAGGGTCTCACTTTTTTTTGCATGGGATGGCCTGGCATGGCCTCCTGGTCTCTGCTTCCTGAGTAGCAAAGGTTATAGGCATGAGCCACCGGTGCCTGGTGTCAGGTTTTCTGTTTCCCTCATATAGCTATGCAGTTTAGCACTGGTTATTGAGAAGCTCATCCTTTTTCCACTACTCTTCATTGTTATCAGTGTTCAAATGTTTCAATTCTTATTTTTTACAGTTTTGAATCAGACCCAACTAAAGTCCATACTCTGCAATTG